AAGCATAAACATGTATTACAAAATAAACTCTAATGATAAATTCCATCTCTTACTTCATGCTAATTAGAACATCTGCAACTTAGTCATTTCTTAACAGAACAGAAAACACATTTATAACAATTATGGCAGGTTTCCATCATGGTTTCAGAAACATAAGAAAGTCAAGATTGTAAACCAGAAACAAGCATGTATCTGTTAATCCTATTTTCCTTAAGAAGTTCTAAACTGATGTTCTCCCTATTTAGGCAGACAAATATATGAAACCTCGGAATATGTATAGCATCAGAATCAGGATGTCTACATTGTATTTTGGACATGCAAGTTTAACAATGCCTAAGTGATATGATAAGAGTCAGCAGAAGCTTACCTTGCAGCTGGAGAAAGTCCTGTGAACTGGAGCCTGGTTCTGACTGCTTGTAATATTCTGATCAGCTTCCTCACGTGCTCAGCAGACTGGAACAACCTTTAACTTGGGTTACGAATGGCTGGAAAATCTAGAAGTTGTATGGATGATTTGATCAAGAAACACTTGAGGGAAGTTGGAGTTTGAATGCAAGAATAAAAAACTAGCAGGTTTTGTATTTGTGTTTGCAGTTTCGGGTTCCTGGAATTTTTAGCAAAGTTTCGAAGCTTTTTCTTCTTAGTTTTTTCTACCCTCCTTTCACAGTTGCAAATGAAGTTCAGTGTATAGGCAATAATTTTGTAGCTTGGAGAAGTCAAAAGTACCACCATCATGCTAGCGTGCTGGCTTGTTCTTGAAGCAAGTTAAACAAGTATGGTGGTTAGCAGCTTTTAGTCGTTCCTAAGCTGGATCTGTAAGCATGAATTAAGGAAAAGTACCCTCAGAAGCAAAAACAAATCATGGGCCCAGCATACTCTTGTACAAAAGTTTGCTTTTTCAAGGACAACAATGTACTTCCATGCCACACGTGGGGAAATCCTTTGGATAAAAACTCAAAAGTGGTTGTGAGCATTAAATGATGATGAGATTTATCAAACCAGAAATCCTGCAATATGAGATTATGCATCATAGCTTAATTTTGGTCAGAAGTTCAGCATCAGCGTAACTTAGAACAAACATCCAATCTTCTGATCCTTTAATCTCTTTGCTCCAGCATGTTATGAGCGAGTTCTCAGACTTTCCAGAAAGCTTATGACATGCTTTATAAGCGCTCTTTGAGTTACTCTTGCCACTTCTGACTGAACCTACGTGAAAACTGGCCCATATGTTGTAAACAAATTCTGATTTGAAAATGCTCAGAATTTACTAAGTGTTTAAGTTTCAGGGATGTGACTTTGAGGATGTATGACTTGAAATCCCAACATTTCTAGAAGAAGTTCTGTTCTGCAGTGTTTTAGGTCCCATTGAGATCTAAAACTCTTGAGTTAGCAGTTCTTCCAAAATCAGCTTGCATTATGGTGATAATCTGATCATAAGTTCAGAACTTGTCATATTTCTTAAGCACTTAAAAAAATTCTAAGTATTTAGAATTTGGACTTTTCCAAAGTAATTTTGACTTTTGAATTTTCTTGATGAAACAAAATTTCATATTTCAACATGTCTTGATTAAATATGACTCTTGAAACTTGACTTTGATCCAAAAGTCAAAGTTTGACTTTTCAGTATGTAAATGACTATTTTGCCATTGTGAATGACTTTCTTTGGAAATTTGTGATTCATGGCTTGGAATTGGATGGAAGCAAACTTAGGGTCCAGGATGATCCTTTGAGAAATGAGAGAGCAAATTTTGGGGTACAACACATCTCAAACAATTGTGTCACACATAATTCAGACATTACATACACCGGTCATGCTCAATAACACTTAATTTAAGATCATATTTTTCAAATACTTTCACATAAACATGTAGTAGCGGAATCACTTTTATTCATAATTAATATAATAATTAATCTCATAATCAACTTATTCATTTTACTACTTATGCATAAAAGCCAATTCACCACATAATTCCAATAAATCATAACGAAATAAAATTTAGTATACAATGTATCTGTCAAAACATGAATTCAAAATGTTCCCCAATGTTACATAACCAGAGCATGACTAAATCCAAAATACGAAAATAAAATAAAGATAGCTTATTCAGCTTCACTCTTGCCAAATCAACTCTAATCTTCAGTACTTAAACGATGTCGTATAAAACATCATTCTAACAGAAGAGTGAGAATTCACATAATTATCAAAATCATATAACAATATATAATACGATAACATACATACATAAAGATGAATTAACCCACACTTTATATGTTTTATAACATAGCATCACTCAATCAATCATACTATCCACAATCCAAAAGTATACACTCACAAATTCACTATTTCACAAATACATCACATTCACATAGTGCACATAACTTCACATTATGACATAACACAATGGGAGTCAAATGCAATACTCATGTACGTGGTACCAATCACTGTTATTTTTATTCGGTTTTTACTTTAAATCAGGTTCGTTCCCCAGACCAATAACACACAAAAAGTCTGTTCCCTAAGCTTTCAAACTCCGTTCTAGGTTTGGAACAAGTCACTAGCTCCCACAAAACTAACAAGCATTGTCTCTTGACAACAATGATGGATGTGTAATTTTAACATCCATACATATCTTTAATAATTCATCACAATTGAATTACCATACAATTAAACATACATGCACTCATTCATGAATTATCCACATATAATTCATATTCATAGTATCACTGCTCCAAAACATCATCACAACACATAGCAAGTAATACACAAGTATCATTATAATCCAACACCAAATCAAAACTACACAACAAACAAACACAAGTCCTTTTACACAACTACACACTGATTAAATCAGCTATTGCCGACAAGACCATTTTTATTTAAAAGAGTATGGCACTAGCTTCCTAACACTTCAAATGGTGACCCAAACAAAGCCACGGTTTAAAATTTATGAAATTTTAAAAATTTACAAAGTTGATGTCCAGGTGACTTTCGCTAAGCGAACTCTGCGATTTCCAGAGAAAATTCCGCGATGACAGCACTTTTCTATGTGCAATTTTAACCCCTAAAACACATTTTTAACATCCAATTGATACGATTTAAGACATCATAATCTATATCTAACATGTATTTTCAAATAGAAACATCACAACACCCTTACTCATCATATTCAAGGATTTCTCATCAAAACCTAACAATTTCAAAACCATGGGAATTTAGGGATTTCATCCCAAACATGAATCTACTCATCATACATCATCATACAATTCTCATAACAATGTAAAAACTCACCCTTACCTTAATTTCTTGATGAACTCTTGAACTTTCTCCTTAGGGTTCCTCTTCTACTCTTTTCTCCTTTTTCCTTTGTCTTTAAGTTTGTCTCTTTTCCCTTTTCTCTTTACTAACCTAGTTTTCTTTTTCTCTTAGACTCTTAACCAAATAACACTAATCCAACAACTACTAGTCTCAATTACTCTTCACCCCCCCCCCCCCTCCCCCCCACACACACACACAAACTTTTCACATTTTCACATATTAGGCTCAATTATCAATATTTTGCTATCCCGTCCCATATAACATACATCAAGTAATAATTAAATCAATTACTCACAGAATCAAACAAATAATTAATTACTAAAATATATAACTAATATATATATATATATATATATATATATATATATATATATATATATATATATATATATATATATATATATATATATATATATATATATATATATATATATATATATATATATATATATATATATATATATATATACTGGGGTGTTACAACAGTCGACTAAGAGATCAAATGAAGACTTCGACTAAAGAGTTTAGCGAAAAAGTCTCATGCTTGCGAAGTAATATCATGTCGAGACTTAGAAGATTTCTTGGACTTAATTCGAAAGAGAATCCGACGAAGATAATTTGAAATAAGGCTAATAAACGTACTTTAGCCTTATCCGTTCCTCGAAAGGACGCGTGAAAATCTGTGAAGGGCGAAGCCATGCAAGCGGGAACGTGTCATTTTATGGGGAAAAATCGTTCATAATAGTTACCGTCGAAGTAGTATAAATAGATGTCTTAGTATTAAGATTTCGTGTGTTCAATTGTACCAAACTCAAAATCACTCAAAGTATCTAAATGTGTTCGAGAAAAGAGTTTTATGAGTAACATGTACGTATGAATTGTCGTATTTACATTCATTACTAAATCATTTACTTTCAATGTTATTTTAATTCAATTTAAGATTCTATCGAAACACTTTATATTTTGTACATTTTACATTCGTGCACACTTTATATTTCCGCACTTTACAAATTATCTATGCATTACTATCACTTTTAAGATTTTAGTCTAGTGGAAGTGTTAATCATCAAAAAAATATAATAAAATTAAACACATATATTCTAGAATCAATCTATTTGATGATATAATTAACAAAAATATCAATTTTGAAAGAGTGATAATTGTTTACTAAAATATCAAGTTTGAAACCAAAATATAAGATAAACACCGGCACACATATTTATTTGAGTTTTCATAATCGATTATGTAGTAGAGTTATATAGTAAATTAAAATCAATGTTGTTTAAAAAATGAATTTGTTTCTGTTTGATTTCCATTAATTATACAAGGCAACCAAGAAAAAGACGTGATATTCCAGGTCTTATTAATTTGTATTGGTTACCAAACATAAGACAAGTGAAGAGAGAGAGGAATTTTTGGCGTAAGATTCCCTTGTTACTTCCACCGGTGGTAGTGTGAGCAAGTGCACTGTAAAATAAAAGAATAATAATTTTTACAGAGAGCTAGAGTCGAAGACGCAGAAGAAAAGATTAATGTGAACGTGAGGGAAAAGAATAGGAAAGTGTCGTGGGAGGAAGAAAGTGTTTTAAAGACGAACGCCCAAAGCAAAAGCTCCTCCCTCCCTCCCTCCCGCACTTCCTTAGTTATCTTGGATCTCACTCACACACAACTCAGATCTAGGTCGATGGAGAGCGAAAAGAAGTCGTCTTCAATATCAAACTTTGGAGCATGGGGTATGAACGTTGTGAGCTCCGTTGGGATTATCATGGCCAATAAACAGCTCATGTCCAATAATGGCTATGCTTTCACCTTCGGTAAGATCTCTTCACCTGTTTGCCTCTCGATCGATCTGCACCCAGATCTCTAATCTAATTCACTTTCATACACAGCCACTACATTGACCGGCTTCCACTTTGCCGTTACTGCTCTCGTCGGTATTGTCTCAAATGCTACCGGTTATTCTGCTTCTAAACATGTTCCTCTTTGGGAGCTTATTTGGTTCTCTGCTATTGCCAATATATCTATCACTGGGATGAACCTCAGCCTCATGCTCAATTCTGTTGGTTTCTACCAAGTAAGCCTACCCAACCCACCCTCTTTTATGTCTTCTATTTCTCAGCTCTTCATTTTCTCATTCTCTATGTCAACAGATATCCAAACTAAGCATGATTCCGGTGGTTTGTGTCATGGAATGGATCCTTCACGCCAAACACTACTCCAGGGAAGTAAAAGCGGCAGTCATGGTTGTGGTTATTGGTGTCGGCGTTTGTACTGTAACTGATGTAAAAGTTAACCTCAAAGGTTTCGTCTGTGCCTGTCTAGCCGTTGTATCATCATCTTTACAGCAAATTGTAAGTGCCATATATGCCCAATATGGAATTTATTGTCACTTCCTTTTCTGCTCTCATTTATATCATCCAACTCTTGTACCGTGAGATTTTTTTATTCTTGTGTATTTTGAATTGGACTAATACAAGGTCAGTACTAGATGTACAATCATAAACCACCATCATTTCTGTTCTTTTGAAGCTTCTGTTACTTCATTTAAAACAGGAGACTTGAATACATAATTTCTAAAATCGGTCTAGTGAGCACTGGGGGTGAACATACTTTTCTTTTTTTTATTATCTTTCTAATCATTCATTTTAGTTTTTCAATTTCATCAAAATTATTGATTACTTTAATACAGGTTCAATGTCCTGTTACAATAGCCTATTTAGCTTTTTGTTTTGTCTTGTACAACATATAATATGGTCGTTTATACTGATTTAAAATTTTGACTAACTTGATTACTCTTATGATTACTTGCCTTTCACTTGTATAGTAATCAGTTTGATTTTTCCAACCCTTTTTTTTTACAATAAAATCAAATTGTGTTATACACTGGAAATCATGCTATTTGTGGGATTGATTCCTTGTTATACCTCCTTATATTTTCCCCTTTGTGTTAACAGTCAATTGGATCTCTACAAAAGAAGTATTCAATTGGATCTTTTGAATTGCTAAGTAAGACTGCTCCTATTCAAGCCCTCTCTCTTATTATTCTTGGTCCATTTATTGATTACTATCTCAGTGGCAAGTTGATAACCAACTTTAAGATGTCTTCCGGTGCCATTGTAAGTGATCGCCCTCTTCTATATTGAATTTAGATAGTTCTGCTTTACATGTAGTGTTGGATTGTTTACTTGGGGTCTTTGTAAATCTCTGCAGATGTTCATTCTTCTTTCATGCACCCTAGCTGTGTTTTGCAATATAAGCCAGTACCTCTGCATTGGGCGCTTCTCAGCAGTTTCCTTCCAGGTTTTAGGCCACATGAAAACAGTATGTGTTCTGACTTTGGGGTGGCTACTATTCGATTCAGAGCTAACATTCAAGAACATCATGGGAATGATTCTTGCAGTTGTTGGGATGGTAATTTATAGTTGGGCTGTGGAGCTTGAAAAGTCCTCAAATGTGAAGACTCTTCCTCACGCAAAAAACAGCCTAACAGAAGAAGAAATTAGGCTACTGAGAGAAGGGATAGAAAACAGTCCGTTGAAAGATGTTGAACTTGGTGAGGCTAAAGTTTAGATTGATTGGAAGTGATTAGTGTCAATTTTATTTGTTCATTTTAGAGTTTACTTGGTAAGAGACTTGGTGTCTATCTGTTTGCACGAAATCCATTTTAGAAAATGTATCTTATTTTTTAATTTGATTGTTTTACTGAGATTATGTTATTTATTTGGCTTGTCCGTAGAAGACTGCTAGTGCTAGGCGAACAATACATTCTGTCAATTGTCGATATGAGATGTAAAATGTGTAAGCTGATGACAGGCAATATATTCTGTCAATTGTCTTTTATGTTAGATTTAAATAAAGTTTTGATTATCTTATTTTTCCAAACTACTGTATTCACTCTGTTTTCTGGGTTATATATATAGGTGTATGATCAATTTGACCCATGCCTAATTTAATATTATGACATCTATGATAAAATTTTACTGTACATTTAGACTACAAAATTAATTTATTGTTGGATTTAAATCTATTATATCATAGTTTATATTTTATGTTTATAAATTTTTACATTAATATGAAACTATTGATATGTTAAAAAGTTATATTAAAACTAATTTGTGTGATGTTTCGAAAGGCAATTTGATTAGTTAAGGATATTAGGTTTGTTGTTGCGTAGGAACAATAAATGAGTAGTTTTCTTATAAGTATAGAGAGAGCTGTAAGGGGTAGATTTATGTAGATTATTTGGGGGATTTGGGGGATTTGGGAGCTACGACAATGGTGTGTATTGTCTCAAGAATGAATGTCTTGCTTATTCCTCTTGCGGGAGTCCCCTATATAGCTCTCCTTTAGCGCCATTAAGAGCCTCAATCAAGGTGTGACATTTGAGCTTTGTAATGTATAGCAGTCGTCGTCACTATAACACCTTTCTAAACCCCAAAGAATATTCACAAACAATTCAATAAATAAATCAGAGTAATGCATCAAAAGGGTGTCACATGCTTCATAAAACATCATATAAAACATATCCTACTCCGTAACACGGATTCTCAAAAATTAAAAACAATTATCCCTTTGAAACCATCATCATAAAGCTTCAACACATCGCAGCAGAACTATTATCTCAAAACACCTTTATTAAAAACTTCAGATAGAATACCATCACACTTCATAATTCACGAATCATGCTCAATACATCTTAAAACAAAATAAAACAACATAATGTATCAATTCACAAATAACACATAGTTCAGTTCGAACGATCCCAGAGACCCCAATGTTATATATCAGAGCAAGATCCTCTTTATTTGAAATAAAGCAACTAAGAGACTCCATAAAACTATCATTGAGCTTCTACGTCTATTCCTGATTATCTGCAAGTTACTCACGGATAGATGCAAAATTTTCAAGCAGAAAGGGTCAGTAATCATAATCATTATGAAAGACATAAGGAATAAATATAGTGGTTATAACGCAAGAGCAAGAAACCACACATCATCAAAATTTCATGTTATACTCACACCTTCAGTTCATTATTTATTCATAGCATCATCATATCATCAGTTAACAATCATCATCAGTCCACATATTCACAAAGCATCACTTAATCAATCATTATGCAATATCACAAAGAATATAATGCAATTTTATTAGACTCATGCATGTGGTACCAAAACTTCACTGATGACTCAGTCATCGTTTCTCCAAAGATCCTCACCAATAGGATCGATTCCCGCTTGGAACCAGCGTACATCACAAAATTACACTTAAATCCACACTATGGGATTAAGGTCATCATTGGACTAATTGTCCTAAAAACTTCACTAGAACAATATCCTGCAACCATCACTGGGTTATGCCCTAACATATGCCATGAATGCATGATGTGAAACATCTTAATAACAACATGACACTGCTAGTCAAAATGCATCATCATTTATATAATCATCATCATATCATCACATACTTTATATTACACATGTCATCATCATAGCAACAACAATTCATCATATACACATACATCATAATAGAATAATCATCTTATTCATCTAAAATATAGACACTGAAAAATATATCATATGACTCATTTTATTCTACCAAAGTATAATTCACCGCGTTAGCTTTCTAACGGTTTGAACGACGCGTTAAACAGAGTCCTGAAACTCAAATCACGGTCTCTTAAAGTTCTGTCAGATATCCCTCGCTTGAGGCTTGTTTGACGAAGCAGGTTGCTCGCCTGAGGCTTGCCCGACAAGGACGGGGTGAATCAGTTTCCCCAATACAAAAATCCAGAAGCATATATTTCCTCTTGTCTCCTTCGCCCGATGAGGTTGTTCGCTCGTCTGACGAGCTTAACTCGCCTCTGCTTCTCCCAGCGAAATTGGAGCGAGTCCTTTTCTCTCATACAAAAGTTCAAGGGCTCTGTTTTTCATCCATTTCCTTCGCTTCACGCTCACCCAACGCATCAGGGGCGAACTTCCTTCGCCCGACGATGCATCATGCTCGCCCGACGAGCCAGCGCGACTAGAAATTCCCTGTTGCGATCTGTCCAATTTTTACACGATTTCTTTACATTACATGTCTCAATTCATCTTGAAGGAACGAAATCTTATTGAATATGGTCATATGGAGAAGCCACAAGAACTGGATCGTCTTCCATCAGAGGAGGAGGAAAAGCCTTAGCTTTAGCAACTTTAACGATTGCAACAACAACTTGTCGTTGAACAGCAAAACAAGTGACTTTGTATGTCACCATACTTAATGAATTTAATAATTTTTTTTTGAGGATGATATTGAAACTTCAAGAAAGAGATAAGTGATTTGAATCTTTTGTGAAGAAATAGTGATTTTTCGTAAAAATTAACGTGAATCGAAAATCGATGATTTATGCATTTGAGGACTAAATTATTATTATTAAAATTATTATTTTGTTGAATATATATATTAACATTGGTCATTGTCTAAATGGTAAGAATGTGAGCTCCTATTAAAATTTTAATCTACATTTCCCGAAATAAAATAAAAAAAATGAATGGATATCTCAAAAGTATAGGTGATGTCCCTGTGCTGGTAACTTTATCTTTATCTATCTTGGTCACACACACTTGAATCTTTTTCGCTTTTGTCTTTCCTTGTCCCTCCTTTGATTGTTAGTATTAGTAAAAAAAAACAAAATGATATTCCTTCCTCCTCTCTTGACATGAAAAGTGTATGTGAATAAGAAATGATAGAAGGAAGAAAGAAACGATCTTACTCTTTTGTTTAGCGAGTGGAGTCCAGCAAAGTACTAGTAGTAGAAGAGTGGCAATGGGGTCGGAGCAAAATCGATTTCCTCAGCCTGAAAGGGTATCTCTCTTTCGATCTCTTGTAACCATTTTTTCATTTTTATTTTTCATTTAATTTCAAAACTATTATGCTTGGTTCGTTCGTGCATTATTTATTTGGGGTTAGATCTGAGGTCCCTAGCTAGTAACTACATATAACCTAGCACCAATTTAAGCTTCGTTCCTCAGATCTACTTGCATCTTCTGCTGAAATTTCTATTTTCTAACTAAAAATATACATAGATCCATACTTGATTTTCAACTTGAAAAGATTCCTTGTATTTTTTGGAAATTAAATTCGCTGCTGCTTTGTGGAACGATAGGATTGTATTACTTTTTCTTTTACTGGTTGTATAACATGTCAAAGATTCTTTCCTGATTTACTTGTTATTAATATCCTTTTTCCTGTCTTGCATTGACAGAGAAAGAGATGGGGAGGATGTTTGGGTGCATTTTCTTGCTTTGCTTCACACAAAGGTGGCAAGCGCATTGTGCCTGCATCTCGTATTCCTGATAATAATGGTTCAGCCGCTCAGCCAAATGGGCCCCAAGCAACCGGCTTGACCAATCAAGCCACCGGCATAGCTCCTTCTCTCTTAGCTCCACCTTCTTCACCAGCATCTTTCACACATTCCGCCCTTCCTTCCACTGCACAGTCACCTAGCTGTTTCTTGTCATTATCTGCAAACTCACCGGGCGGTCCTTCATCTACAATGTATGCTACTGGACCATATGCTCATGAAACACAACTGGTGTCTCCTCCTGTCTTCTCAAATTTCACTACCGAACCATCTACTGCGCCTCTCACTCCTCCCCCCGAGTTGGCTCACTTAACAACTCCCTCTTCCCCAGATGTACCTTTTGCTCATTTTCTAACTTCTTCCGCAAATCTCAAAAATGCTGCCAAGGGTAACTACATCACTGCAAATGATCTTCAAACTACATATTCCCTCTACCCTGGAAGTCCTGCCAGTAGCCTTATATCTCCAATATCAAGGAATTCTGGTGACTGTCTATCAACATCATTTCCTGAACGCGAGTTTCGCCCACAGTGGGATTCATCAATGTATCCTGAAAATGGAAAATATCAGAGGACTGGGTCTGGGAGGGTGTCTGCTCATGACACAAATGATGCCTCTATGGCATCCCAAGATACAAATTTCTTTTGCCCTGCTACCTATGCACAGTTCTATTTAGACCAAAATCCTCCATTTCCTCATAATGGCGGGAGATTAAGTGTTTCAAAAGATTCTGATGCTCAATCTACAGCTGGAAATGGACATCAGAGTAGGCCTTCTAGAAGTCCTAAGCAAGATGTGGAAGAAATAGAAGCTTACCGAGCATCATTTGGTTTCAGTGCAGATGAGATTATAACCACCAGTCAATATGTAGAGATTTCTGATGTGATGGATGACTCATTTACCATGATGCCTTTGACCGCTGGCAAATCAATGATGGAACAAAACATAGAGCCTTCATTGATGAAAGGGTTCAAAGCTCAGGAGACACAGGTGGGTTTGCAGAATCTAAAATGCCTTAGATTAGACCCCAATCCAGTTGGCAAGCAAGCAAGGAATCAAGTCCCTGTATGTGACGGATATGAAGGTATGGTGTAAAAACTTAATTGATTTTCATTTTTTTTATTACATCTTGAGAAATTGTGGAAATATAACAAGACTTTAGCCTTAAAAAAACAAAAAGACGATAGAGAAATGCACCTTTTAATTAATTATTCCATTCTTCCTCCCAAATTAATATTGTATACATCACTCTCAAATTATTATATCTCACTATGTATTTATGATAATTGTTAATAACCAGTAGTAATCCGTAGATTATCATAGAAGGGCTATAGTAATTGTGTGTATTTGTGTTTTAAGCTGAGGAGGATGCCATATTTTTTAGGACTTTACTCCAACATTCACACTGTACTATACTATTACATTTACCTGTAAGCAAATATGCTTCTTTTTTGCACACGTCAGATCATAAATCACCAGGACATTGTAGCAACAGCTCTGGATTAAGTACACCTCGCATGGATGATGAAGATATGTTTTCAAAAATGGGGTCATCCAGAATCTGCAGGAAATATCAGATGGGATTATCGTGTTCTGATGCAGAGGTTGACTATAGAAGGGGAAGAAGCTTGCGAGAAAGAAAGGGAGTATGATTTGGCATGACTTAGTTAATCAGTGTTGAACAGATTGTCTGTTATATGTGTATTAATTTGCAGTTTCCTTTTTTTTTATATTAAGAAAACTACCAAAAGAAAGAAAGAAAGAAAGGAAAGAAACTCTTTACTTGGAGTTGTCTAATAGATGGAATGATCTAACCTAGATATAACCGACTCTGTCCCCTGTGTTTGACCAGATGTTATTGATCCATGAATGTAGCCCCTTGTTTTTTTTTCAAGCATGGTCGAAATGAATGTTTTGACTTTTAAGTGGATGAAGTTTGGCTTTAGGAATGGCAAGTGAATCTCCTGATTTTCTTCTCCTAATCTCTTGGATACTCCTAATTTTCTTCCCTTCCAATCTGGTGGAACCAAATGGAACCACTATCATTCACTTTCACAATTATAAAATTATCCACATATCTGTTTGTTAATAATTACTGATAATAACTACTCTAGTGTAATTAGAATAATTCTTTTATCTTTCACTCAAAAGTTAGCTGTGTTCCATCATCTTTATACAGATTTATTTTAACCATTTATTCTTGCAACGATATATAAATTCATCATTCCACAAAATTTTAGTTGACGTGGCCCTTAACCCTTTTCTGGGTCATTATAAATACAAATAATTCAGTTGATCATCTATCTCAATATTTCTATTTTTCCAATAAACGATGTCCTTATGTGCAATTGCATAGATTAATTACTCTATTAGGGGAAGATTACAACGGACAACATAATTCATCCTAAATTTTTTTAACAGGTGCGTACCCCGATTTGATTCAAATTTAGAATCTCTGATAAGATGAAAGAGATTTTTTATTATCTCATACAATTACTTAGGTCAATATTTTAATTTAATTTAATGGTTTCTTTTAAAATAGAAATCTAGGAAGATAAAAGGCAAAATAAATCTTTTAAAGATAAAAGATTAAAGAGTTAAAAGGTAGCGCGTTAGACCGTGTAAAATAGTTTCATACCGTCATTTAATGAAAATTTATTATTAGTCATGTTATATAATTTATTTAAAAATAATAATATAATTTGTCACTTAATTAAGTATAATTATGATTGGTTGACAGTGTAAAATTATTTTACATTACAAGTGCATATCTCTTTTTCTCAAGATTAAAATGAATTTTAATTAAATTAATTTTTTTAAAATAAATCTTAATTAATGTATAAAAGAAACACCACAATTTTTAAAAACCAAATAGACACTGAAGTAATATTTATTATTGAGTAATGTTATATAGTAAGTATCATTTGAATAAAAAATACAAAAATGTATATTTGTCATTGTTTTATAAAATAATTTTAAATTTATTTAATTTTTTTAATAGGAATCATAGAATAGTGGTAGAAATGAATAGTTGAAATTTAATTTTTACCTTTTTTTTATACTTTCTTATTAATATACATTTTCCTTTATTATTTTAGATAATTGATATTTGGTTTGTTTTTTTTTAATTTGATTATATTATAAATTAGTTCATATTGAATTTTACTTGATAATGGTATTTTTAAATAAATGTGAAATTAGAATTAAAAGAATTATAATTCCTTCTATTTTGTTCACATGCTAAATGGAAGAATAATAAAATTGTTTAATTTCTATTATAAAATATCTAAATAAGGAAAAATCAATTTTATTTTCTTTGTGATGATGTTTCTTATCTCACGAATTAACTTTATTTTTTTCAAGAATATTACATTTTCAATAATTTAAACAAACAACACGGCTACTCACAAACTCTTCTTCACAAACAAAATTTCACTCAAAAGCATTATGACGATTTTAAGTAAAGAAGAAATATTTTCAAAGAAAGAAAGAGAGAAAATAGAGAGATAAATTATAAAGAAAATGTAAAGTTTTGAAAAGTGACGTGAAATGAAGAGGAGATAAGCCTCCTTTATATGAGTTGGAAAAATCAAAAAAGAAAATAATCCATAAGCATAATTGATGAGTCAATCGATTGTCATAATGCTCCAATAGATTGATTTAGTCATATTTAATCGATTACCTTGTCCAACATGAAAATATGTGATATAGAATTGTTACCGGTCATTAAGATGTTGTCCTAATCGTTTGGTTAATCGTCTATGCTCTCTCGAATTGATTGATTTAATGTTCCAATTGATCGGGTGATTCAGAAAAGTTTTGTCAATCAATTGACTTAAGTTTCCAATCAATGGGTTAGTTCAAAAAATCTTTGAAAAGAGATTGGACAACTTCTTAATCACTTGACTTTACCTAGAAAACAATTTTCAAGATAAAAACATTTGAAAAATATTTTTTAAGATGTGAGTGAGTTACCTTAGGGTCATTTTCTTATTTTTACATAACTCTGGTCACTTAGACAAATACGACTTGACGAACTTTCACACTTTCTCCCTCATTACTCGGAGGCTTCTAATTTTTAGTTAGATACCTCGATCATATAAGCACATAAATCTTGAGCACTTAAATCTTGAGTCACTTTTTTTGACGAGGTTTAAGATTTTTCTCTAGCTGGATCACCATTATCAGATAGACAACAAGGGACATTGAGAAACACAAACTCATTTGAAAAAAAGAGACGGAACACAATTATGAGCGATGGATGAACCGATAAAAGAAGGAGAACAATCTTGAAGTGTTTAGTAAACAGCACTACAGGCTTATATACAATGAGAAGGATATTACTTGAAGAACAAGTAACCTCACTTAGTTATATAACTGACACTTAACTGACTCAAAGTTAGCTATGTAACCAATGCAAAAGACTTTCTAACAATTTTTCCTTGTTATTTCTATAATTTTTTTGATTTGTTTTTCCATACCCCAACGATCTTTATCGAGATCCCAATATTGACAACCATGGTAACCACCCCTAACCAAGTGTCAAATCCTAGGATTGTGTTCTAAACAAGAACACTGACCAACTGTCTCGGCTTGTCATTTTTGTCGCTTGATTGATGCACCTTTATTCTATAACTGTGATTTCTACAAGTGATGCCGACCACCTTTATTCTCTTGGTTAGGACTACAGGTATATTGGAAAAAAAAACTTATATAAAGATAAGATACATCAAATACCACTGTTAATTTTGGAGAGAAAAACTTCTTGGAGACTAACCAAGTTTATATATATAAAGATAAGATACATCAAATACCACTGTTAGTGTAATTTCATTGAATTGAGTGACCCCAGCAAGTTGTTGTGGAAAGGATCGGAGATGTGATCCATAATGTTTTGTACAGGACCTTTACCCGTCACTGCTGCTTGCATGAAGAAGCCTAACCAAGCCATCATTGCCAAGCGTCCATTTTTTATTTCTTTCACCTTCAGATCTTCAAAAGCCTCAGGGTCTTTGGACAGACTTAAAGGATCAAACAATGCTCCTCCAGGATAGTTTATATCACCAGGCAGATATATTCCTAGAGGCTCCAATGCCTCTATCCCACAATATCTAGCATATTCTGGTCCAACCTGTTTTATAATAAGAATCTCAATTAGTAATAACAGTAGCCAATCCATCTGCAAACGCAAAGGACTGTCCAAAAGAAACAATATTTATGGTTAAGCAGTTCCATCCAACTACTGAAACTTTTTACTTTTGGCCCATACAAATTTGGTTTATAAAAGTAAAGTAATTTCTTGAACTTTGAGTGTGAGATGAATTTAACTTGCAAACTTTATAGTTGCATTCTGGTATTTCAAGAGAACACCTACGAAGCATTGCAAGCCATGAAACATGTTCCATTTGTAGAATCAAAAGGATCTGCTTCATTCAGTACAACTAAGTTGAAAATCTAATAAGCAGAAGTGCTACGCCACATCATCACTAACATCAAACAAACTGGAATACTGGAAGACAAATGTCACAAGATATAAATAATGTTAGCAAAGCTCACAAGACAAAGTGGATAATGGATACAAGCATTACCATAAGGAGTACTTGGCAAATAGCAATCACAACCACTCCCTGGTTTCCAGCTAAGTGAAGACCTGGGATGCCAAGGTAATCTAAAGTATCTCCCTGTCGAAAATTGGAAGACACATAAGCAAGAAATGTTAACTGCATTATTACAGTTCATCGGTTTATTTACTTTGTAAAAATGTATACAAAGTGAGAGTGAGCTGAATTTATTCTCAAGCAGGTAAAAATTGATCGACTAGTTTCAATTAATGAGATAGAATAATTGAAAAGGAGTACCATAGAGTTATTGGTTTAGGGATAAGGGAAAGGAAAAGAGAGAAAGACAAATCAATTGTATGAGCTAAAACCAAAAGTATAATGAAAGATGTAACAAGAAAGAAAACTGATAGAACAGGTAGTATGGGATTTATCAAGAAACAAAATCACAGTATGGAACTGCCCGCTGTGTAAGTATGAAAATTAATTGATTTTACTGAAAAACCCTACAGATTTTCAAGGAATCTGTAACCTCCCAAATACAATTCTAATTCACCAATGAATCTTTATTTCAGCCACATCCTGGTAGGGCTAACACTGGTAGAGTGTTGACTGCTGCCTTTAATTCATGAAGAATGATAATATTATTAATTGCTCAACAAAGTGATGAGCAAAAGATTGCGAAAGAGATAAAAGATGGTAACCTGGAGCTTTGAATAACCAACGCGCCACCAAACAGGTTCTACAAAGTGAAAGACGCCCAAGAGATGTAATAACTCAGGAATCAAAGCACCAACGGATGCGAGCATAGCCCAGCGAGCATGCAATAACTCAAAGCTTAACAGTAAATTGGGTTAAATTCCACAAGATATAAAGTAGCACTAGTTTAGAGGCGTAAATGAAAATGGCATACTTGAAATATTTGTGCAGGGCGACGGGATCCTTGGCAAGGCCGACAATGTCAAAGCCATAATCACCAGGCAATTCCCCAATAAGATGTGATGGGTATCCATATGAAATAGGACCAAGCCAGCGAGGCCGACCTTCTCCATACCAAAAGCTGAAAACATGAGCACAAATTTTATTACATCTCA